GACGCCAGCGCTGCCGGGCTGCCACCGCCCCGGGGCGCGGAGTAGTGCGCGCAGCGCGGAAGCCGAAGGAATTATCTAGAGGAAATGGGCCGTTTCCAACTCCTTCCCGCCGCAGCAGGCTGTGCCGGCCAGCCCTTACCCCCGCCCATCTGTTCTCCGGGGCTGCCGAGCAAGCCGAGGTGCTCCCAGAGTCACGCCGGCCTCCAGGACCTGCCGGCCACCGCGGCCTTTCAAAGCGCTAAAACACTGTGCTTAGGCAACCTAAAAGTGACACCAATTAATTTTATGCAACTGTATTTTTATGATGCCATTATGTGTGGATTGCAAAGCATCTTATGCAAGAAAACTGAGATGCTCGAGCTTGTACAGCCAACCTAAAGGAGAGGAAGAGGGCTGACTGGCACAAATTCACACAACAGGTTCCTGCTTGCTCCCAGCCCACGACTCTTCCCTTCTGGATTGCACCTGGATGCGTTACCGGTGTCTCCCTCAACACCCTGCAGTATGAGAGCAGCTGAAGCACCGGAAGGGCCTCCTGGCCAAAGGGGCAGTGGGAATTTCATCCGTCAGCATCCCAAAGGACGCAACAGGCACTGAGCAGCCTCACTTTTAAATGGATTTGAGGAGGGGATGAGATTATGGACTCCGGGGGCCTACGTTATACCTGCGATTAGGGGATATTCTGGTTTTGTGTCAAGTACGTATTTTCTCCACTTGAAACCTACTTAGGCCAGAATAATACGGATTACTGGTAAACACTCCATCTAGCCAAGCTTCTGTTTCACCCACTGACTAACTTTTCCTTGGCAAAATACTTTGTAGAGTGCCTAACCCACCAAAATCCCCGTCAGCCTTTCTGGCTCATTCTGCAAACACATATGCCAACATCTAACCACCTCTTTGAAAGGAGCAGGTCAAAGCGGCATCTTTTACAGATGCTTGTGTAAAAAACCACAGTGCAGCAGCTGAAAATAGTAGAACACCTATTTATTTTATTGCTGGCATCATTTTTACTGCATCTTTCAGTTTTTGATAATCTTGCTTGGTTTTAAGTATTTAAGGTACAGCATAGGGAAAACCTAATAACTAAACTTTTTCCACAATACATTCACTATCAATTAATCACCCCTTTAGCAAAACCGATAAAAATACAAATGAAATACTAAGGCTATCACTGAAAAATCAAGTTCCTAAGGCTTTCTATAAAAACTGTGTCATCGGCAGAAGCGGTGCTTGGGCTCACCTACATGTCCAACTGGAAACAGAAGCCAAATTTGATCAGTTCAACACCGAAGTGTTTCGTGTAGGTCCAGGAATGTTATCCCAGTCATTAATATCGGGCAAGAAGCACGACAGCTGAACCACACACAGATCCTTCAGCCCAGGTCTGCCGTTCCCACAAGCTGCCTTGTCTACTCCGGTTCACATCCTGCCCCGGGGCTCCCCTCGCGGTGGTCTGCCTACCACCCGGCTGGCGTTTTCAGGATGTCTTTGTTTTGCACATACAGCACATAACACGTACGACAAAGCGTTTTACCTGCACTAAACGCTTCGCTGATGAAGAGGAAACAAATTCAGACACAACATTAATGCTTACCAGTTTCTGACATAAAATACTCATTTTAGCAGTGCAGCCTTTTCTTACAAATAGAATAAAGCAAACTACAAAAGGATTCATACAGAAAGCCAAATGGTACATAAACCAAATGCTCAAGAAGGTTAAACCAAGTTTAAAAATCCCATAAATTTTACTGATAAAGATTGTGTTAGCTATGTTATCATTTTAAAAACAAAAAAACCAAACCACAAACTTATCCAATTACATGTATTTTAAATTTACAAAGCATAGCAATTCTGTCAGTATCATCACCGAGACCAAGCCAACAGAAAATCTCTCATGGCAATACCTCCCTGTTAATAACGCTGCTCTTCAACACTCTGCAGCAAAACCCAAAATACTCTTGAAAGATGTTATTGATGATCTTTGGGGTTTTTTTGCCTCTGTAAAATGGAGATAAAAAGACAAACGCTGACACAAAACACTGCATGATTTCAGAAAACTCTTCAGTAGAAAAATGCTTGCCAGGAACACTCCCACAGATACCCACAGTCCAGCAAATACTACCTACTCCTGTGAAAGGAACGCACCACCTATCAGCACGCTGAAAACTGCCAGAGATTGTCAGAAGCCATCATTAGAAAAGAGACTGATCAGAGAAAGCATCAACTTCTAATAAACCCAGCAATTAATTTAGAGTCTTCAACTGAAACGCTTTTGTATCTTGTCAGGCGGCGCTCTAGTACTTCCCCCGTTTCGTTCCCGCGCGGCAAGCACAAGCCCCGACTGCATCACAGCAGAGAGCATTCCAAGGCTCGACATGCACAGCGTTGAACCGACACAAAGCACAACCCCAGGGGCTGCAAACTATGCTAGCCTGTCCTGCTTTTGCAAGTCGGTTCATGGCAAAAAGCTGACAACTGAGCTGAGAACATATCTGAGTAGTAGAAAATGAAATTAAGATTACTTGTAACCTGTAGTACTTCTTGGAAAGATCAACACTTGTCCGTCCTTTCTGAAATGGATAAGACCACAAAATTAAATTCCAGTGATTAGCCATTTTTTCTACTCCACTCAAAAGATAGTTAATTTCCTCAGTCGTGAAATTTTTTCGGGTTCTTCTTCCCTTGCTTAAAGTTCTTGTGTTCGTGTGCATGGGACATATTTCATTGTCCTGCAAATAAGTATTTTGGTATAATTAAAAATTATGTACATTTACGTACTCTTTCACACTGGGAAGTAACACACGATTACTGACAATACAATCTTAAGTAGTTCTAAAGGAGCGATCACTTTGTCAAGATGATAATGTTTCTTCGAGACTGCTTCGCTGTCACTAAAACACAGTATTTTTCCATGACCTTTGCCTTCACTGTAGTCGTGCCTCTATAGCCTGTACCTTGAGTATGTGTACACCTTCAGGTTTCTGTTATCCCTATACCGTGCACATTTTCACTAGTGCAGGACAAAGCATACCTCCCTATCCATTATTCAGAAGGGACTCTCAGTTAAAAAATGCTTAATGCATTTCAGGAATGACTGGAGTAGATCAACAGAGGAGTACCTTTTTAGTAAGGTTGACTTTGCTACTGGGCTCCTGCTAGAGGTGACTTAAAAAGAAATTATGCAATTCATAGTGATTTTATTTGGACATTTATAAATACATGATTGTATGATTAGGCTTTGCATAACTAACCTCAACCTTGTCAAGCGAATATATGCAGCTTTTTCTTACGCACTGACATTGCTGGTTGCACATTTCTTTGACTCTTTGTCTCTTCAAGTTAGCATCTTCATTTTTTTGGGAAGCTATGAAATTGTGAACAAAGCCAGCTCTTAGTTCCTTTACCTGAAATCTACTGTAAAACTCAATATAGCATCGTAAAGGAACATTTCTTCTTATGAACTTGAATATTCAACTGTTGCTGTATTAGTAATACCTCATTTTCCTTTATGCATTGGAAGCAACTAGCAAATAACAAGAATTACCTCCAACATCAATAATACTACGACTGAAGGCACTACTTAAGTTCTTAGCCATTTGTCTCTAAGAGTGCTTTTCTCAGTGCCCTGACCTAAATGCTGATGCTTACTACTGAACGAGCCTTCCGGGAGTACTCACACTTTCCATATGTTGGTATCAAGTTATAGTTGTCAGTCAACCGAGGATTTTTCCTGTGTTCATCTCTATCTGAAGTACCACATTTGTTTTTTCTAACTGGTGTCAAAAGAATACCTAAAAAAGACAAACAGACAACCAAAAACCTAAAAAACCCTCCCACAAACAATAAAACAATATGTGGCTTTCTAAAAAAAAAAAAAAAAAAAAACCAAAAAAAACCCAAAAAACAACCACCACCAAACAACCAAAACACAGGGAATGTTTTAGGAATTAACACTTGAGAGAACCACAGTATGTGCCACAGTACTACCTGGTTTTGGAAGAAAGACAGGAAAATTCAGAATACTTCAGAAAATGTTTACTTGCTAAAGGTAATATATTAGTCTAATGGACTCTTGAGATGAAATAGTCAGGTGGGTTTTTTTATTTTAAAAGGCCTCCATGGCTATCATAGAAATCAATTAATTTCTGAATCTGAAGAGGGAAATAAATGTAAACAAAAATAATTTAAATGTACTAGCTTTTATAAAATACAGATGTAAACAAGTTTTTTGGAAAAAGAAGACTAAAAAATGAATTCCCAATGGATGGGCTGATTTTTAAAAACAGAGTATTTTTTTGAAGTAGTATGATTGTTTTATAATTTAAGTACTGATTTAGAGAGGTGTTCAGCCTACTTTAAAATTTCTGGTCATCAATCCTAAGAAGTAGTATTGGTTACTAGCTGGTGAATGCAGTAATGTATGACTGTAGCTGGAGCTCTGTAGAACATACCCACAAAGACCATATTCTGAAAAAAAAATATCTGTGTGAATTATGTAAAAAAAAAAAAGAGATCTGCAGAGGAAAAAAATTATAACAACTAACTTTTTTGCTACATTAGGAATACTGTAAAAGATATGTACTCTGCTATTTACAAATGGACAGTTGTTGCATACTATGAGTAAACACAGGGTCCCTACACTGCACTGCAGAAACTGATGGAACTTATATTCATTTTTCCATCTTTACCTTGCTAATAACACCTTATCCCACACCTCATAATACAGAACAGGTAAATAGGTCTCCTGTACTCAATTTTCTGATAGGTTGTTTTCAGTTACTTGCTCCTGTATTGTTGGACATGTTAAGGTTTACCCTTTTTAGCTTTTTAGCACACAGAGCCAAGTCCTAAGCAGAGCCCCAAGCAGGAAGAGAAACAGGAGTAATGGGATAAGATGGCTAATAAGTGTGTAATAGAGTGATGCTAAATCCAAGAACAGGCAACTGTACTGTGTTCTGATCCTGGCTACACCTCTCCATTTTAAAAGTTAATGCCACAAAACTGAAAAATAGTAGATGGCATGGAAGCAACCCTGACAGGATTCGAAGCAGGATCTACAAAGCAAGTGCCAGATAACCCCTTTGTAAACTAGTGTGTGTAACATTTTCAAGATTACAGGACATGCATTTTCTGGCCTATTAATATACAAATTTTTCACAGAGTCCACAGGAAAAAAAACCCCAAAAACTTAATTTCCTATCCACAGCCTCCCATGATAAAGTCCCACACAAGAATTACTTAGATAGTAAGGGCTTTTTTTTGCATTCTTTTCCAAATTAAGCCTTTACTTTGGAAACTATCCTTTTTGCTCCTGAAAGTTGATACTTCTGTATGCAGTCTGCCTTTCTTCACTGGGGTCAGCAGTATTTCTGGAAAACAGAAGACAGACACCAATACAAATGCCATTAAGCAAAAAACATTTAATTTTCAAAATGCCTCCTTTAAACCAGAAAAATATAGGATGTGCTTTTATTTAATTCATTAATAATTATAAGCCTCTTGCATCCGAAGTATGTAGTCTTAGAATGAAACTTCCTTGTTATGATGTCATACATCCAATCACACTTAATATATTAACTCTATTAGTACTTGACCGACTTTGGCAAAGAGGACAGTCTCACCAAAGCCTATAATGAGGATATATCACTACTGTCAAGAAATACATAAGATCCTCAAAACAAGTAGCTAGTTCTGATCTCAGTACAAATCATTGGCAAATCAAATTAAACGACTGAGTTTACAAGAGCAAGACAATCAGATTCAGACCAAAATAAGTTCAGAACTTCAAATACGACTGAAAACAATCATTGTAATTACTAAAAAAGATTTGTAATTACTCTCATGAGTTGCATATCTACTGTTGTTACACACAGCCGATTTGCGGAGTTCACTTTTATATCTTTCTTCTACTTCCAGAATGACTTTGTGATGGTCACACTTGTATGGACAACTTTGCAACATCTTGGTAAAGGTTTTACTATTGAAGCACAGTCTTCCTGCTGTACAACCTGGAAAAAAAAATAGGATATTGTAGAAACAGCAAGCACGACTGCTACAGCAGCCACCACAAAGTCCAGCATTTTATTTTGCTCGCTATGATTACAACCTGACCTCCAGTTTTCCATATACACATCTTGAGAGGTTACACCTTAAGTACCTTCCTGAAAATACATACTTCTTGTTTCGTATTTGCCCTCCAAAAAAAAGTGTTTTCAACAAGTAACCAAGTTATACTGCACTTCAACCCCAGAAGTATTAAACGAGGCACAGATCCCCTACAGGAGTCAAAATAATAGTGGGATGGGAAGAAAAGGGCTTCAGCTTCCTTTGCCTATTTATCTAGGATTTAAAATATAAAAGATGTTTTGCTTTACTCTGAAACTTTCTCTGTGTTATATCAACCTGAACAAATGATAAGTCTAGCTTAGGTATGAATTTCCTCACAGGAAGCCTTCCTTCTCATTTTTGAGGACATTCCTAGGCTAATTTATGGTTTAGTTATTCTTGGGTGTTCTCACAGTCAGTTACATCAGCTGCAGGAGAACTTCTGCAGTGTGAGGAATTAAAAGGGCACTGGTACTTATCTGCTCAGGTTGAGTTCAGTTTGACAACTTGGGTTCTTATGCCTAAATGACGTTCCAAGGTGGTATGGGCTTTTGGTGCTGGGGCTTTTGTTTGGTTTTAGTGTGGGGGTTTTTTGGGGCGGGGATGGACAGACACTTTGTTGTTGTTGTTTGGTTTTGTTTCACTAAAGAGACATAGGCTTGTTTACAAAATCCACTTACCAATCCTGAGTACCAGCAGCATTCTAAAACCTACCGACAGGCCTTGTTCAGGAAGTAGAACATGGGGTAACTGAGGGCGGCAATCATGGATTTCTGTAAAACTGGCTAACTCCACTTAATAGCAGTAGGGCAGAGAAAAAAGAAGGGCTACAGAAGAGTTAGGAGGCTTGGCAGGGGAATACATGAGGAACTAAGCAGGGCTACATGCTTTAGGTTTTTCCTCTATCTTTCCAATCAGAGAAAGGAGGAAAAACCCACACTTAAGTATTCTTGTAAGTAGTATGTCATCTTTTAGGCTGTTGTGTATTTGTATTTGTTGTTGTGTTTGTTAATATTTTATTTTAGGGGCAGAAATAGGAAAGGAAGCAGTTAAGAATTACATAATAAATAATCAAATAGATGTGTAAAATTTCTGTAATGTCAGTTCACTTACTGCATTGCTGACTTTAAAGCTTCTTTTATGGACTCAGGAAAGAAAGACTCAAGATAATATTTACCTGAACACCTTAAATCTGCCTTTTTATAGGATGCAAATGTAGTTGAAGTACATTTTTCTTCCTTGGTTATCTCTGAGTAGAACGACTGTTGATCTAAATTAGGAAAGAAAAAACCCCACCCACTTAGAAAATGCAACCTATCCTTTGCCATGGTAATCATGCATCAGCACACCTATATTCCATTATATTTTCTACTTGTAGATTATTAAATCTTATTTACATAACATCAGAAAATACAAATGAAATTCCTGAAGTTAAATGAACTGCACTTCCTATTTTGTATATCCAGAATAATTACATTTAATTCAGTGCTTTTTCATCACTCTCCCCAAGCATATCACTTCAACCTGAACACGGAAAAATAAACCTGCAAACTTCCATTGCTTAACTAAGCCCTACAAACTTTATTTCTCCTTAGAATCAGATACTGAAAAATGTGATGTACTGGAATAGTTCTTATTCTACATTTAAACAGGTATAACCTGGAGATCAATTTGGTCAACTGTAAAGCTGCCATTCCAGCAAATACTGACCTAATGAATAACTGTAAATTTTATAAATTAACAGGAAACAAAATTATGAATAAATATTTGATTGAACAGATCTCAGTTCTGAAATAAATATCTCAGACCAAGCAGATCAATGCAAACCTGAAAAACATGTATCTTAAACACATGTTCGTGGTATTTTGCTGGCCAGAGTTAAGCCACAAGTCAGTCTCACAGGCAGGTTCTATCCCGTCTTACAAGTACAGAAAAACCAGCATCCTTACAGGTTTTCGGTTAATGGCTTTCACTGTTCAGTACAGGCCACATTGAGACTAAACATAAAATATTTATCTGTGACTTATTCATTTGAATAGTTCAAATCAATTAAAAAAATAAGCTAAAATATCTATTAAAACTAGAATAAATATTCTCCTGGTAAAAATCATATACAACAACAAATCCCAAAATGATGCATTTGAAGGATATTATACATAATGTACCCTGCCATCTAATGATATATAATATTTGATAAAAAGTACTGAAAAAAGTACACAAAACTAATTAAAATCTCATTTAAAAAAATAAAGAAAGGAGTATGTTTTTATTTGTACCTGATGTGCATGTCTGTCTCACATTTTTAACAATCTCTGCTGGTTGTTTAAATGAGTATTCGCTGGGAAGATCAAATAAAAAAAAAAATAATCAAACTTTGCAACATTTAACGTTTAAATTAATACACACATTCCAAAAGCAAAACAAAACACACATTAAATATATAACAGATAAAACTCTGAAAAATTGATTCTACTTATCCCAAGTTACTGGGCTTGTAGTATCCAGCATATAATCGCCGTGTGTTACCAGAGATCTGTCACGAGCATTCCTTGCAGTGCTGTTCAGCGTGCCTGTCCCAGCATTTGGAATGCAGTGCTTTGAAGGGATGCTGGTTGCCAGTCATTTGCAATTCTGGTTCAGTAAAGATTACTTAGTGCACATCAAAATTTCACAAAGTCTTCAAAAGACACTAGCTTTCACCAGATGTAGCAATTGCTCTGAAAGGCAATTGCTGATTCTTCTTCCCTGACACTGACTAACTTTTAAGCAACCAACATGCTCCTGTGGTGATCATGCATTTTTCTGTCTTTGATTACCTCTGAATGCTGCAGAAGCAAGGAGCCTAATCCATGGTTATACTTGGGTAACTCCTGTTTTCACACAAATACAGATGCAAGGAGAGAGCTTTTTTTTTCCCCCCCAAAACCCATATTATTTTAATAGTTTTATGCTTCAGAGGTCAGAACAACATGTAAAGCAGCTCTGTGAAATTATGTAAATCAGTAACAAAGCAAAATTTACCTGCATATACCATGGAAAATATCCTGGGCTCTTGATACCTACTGTGGTAGTTGCAAAGTTATAATATAATGCAGGCAACTGCATAGCAGCAGGGTCCAGCCAGCCACACAAAAAAAGCACAATAAATATATAACTCAAAAAAAGGAGAAACATAGTTTTGTTCATACTCTCTCACTGCCTGTCTTGAGGAATATTCCAGATACAGATTCAAGATAATGGAATCTGCATTTATCCTTGCAGGTTGACAATAATTTTTGTTTGTTTATCCATAGGTGGGATAACCATAAAAAGCAAAATAAAGAGAAAAATAAGAGTCTGTGTGAGGGCAATGAGCAAGAGAATAGTGAATGACTAAACAAGGCCGTATCTCTCTCTTCCCATGCAGGGAAATAATTGAGTATGATGGGAGAAACGTGGGTGTGGGGGCCTTTTTTCTGTAGTTTGTAGGCACTCAAATTTCAATTTTTTGCAGAGCAGTTCTGTAACTGCTGTTTTCCTAATATGGGCACATTACAGAAATCTTCGTGGGTCCATCCAAACCAATGAGTCAAATCTTGATCTACTGTATCAGTGAGAATTTTAAGGCAAAAACTATGGATGCTTTTTATCACTATGCTGAAGGCATTCGAACATGGCCTGTAACAGGCTCTCCACAGAATCCATCGGAAGCCTACCATTCAGAGAAAAAGAACAAAAGCTTTTATTACTACAATGTCTATAATCTTTGATCTGCGATGTCAGAAACACTTCCACAGAATATTCTGTAGTGAGCCACTAAAAGGCTGTGTCTTTTCACTAGGAGAAAAAGACAGAGTTAGTAACAGACAATTTAAAAAGCTAACATTCAATTTGGAAATTACTGAGGAAAAGCCACTTACTCTTTGTGCTTAGGTGTAAGACACTTACCTTACTCGAAGAACAGGCTGATTTTTTACACAAGTAGTTTTTTCATTTACACTGTGACTTTGAGGTACACTGCCTGCTCGCAGTTCATTAACTGAACATGGAATATTACGCTGTTCACTTTGTCCAGCAGAAGCATTTACTGGATCCCTAGTGTTCACCATTTCATTTTTCAGTGGAGAAGATTTTACAGATGGAGCAAGAACCTGATCACCCAATTCAGAGGTCAACTGTGGATAATGTACTTCTCTTTGTGTTCTTTCTATATGCGTTCTTGGATCAGCAGGATTTATTTCATGGTGTTTTGATGCTTCTATATTGGCTTCTGAAGATCTGTCTACAAATACTCCTCCTTGAACTCTTTCCTGTATTGAAAAATACTAGTTAGCGACTATACAAACTCTATGAAACTATTAAATAAATCTAGTAACAAGACTAACTAGGATAGACCAGTCTAACTCTGAAGGTAAAGGAAATTCCACAGAAGCACCAAAAACCCCTGAGCTGAGAGCCAACAAGACAGCAGTGCTGTGAAAGGGTGGTTATGAAGTGATAATTCCAGGCGCAAGAACTGGATTGCACACGAACAGAATCATAGAATTGTTTAGGTTGGAAGAGACCTTTAAGATCAAGTCCAACCCTTAACCCAGCACTGCCAAGTCCACCGTTAAAATCATGTCCCTAAGCACCACATCTACATGTCTCTTAAATACCTTCAGGGATGGTGACTCAGCCACTTCCCTGGGCAGTCTGCTCCAATGCCTTTACAAGCACTTGAAAAAATCTAGCTAAATAACTCAAAAACTTGCTGTTCCACACCCTGAGATACCAATTAGTTATACAGAATAAGGAAAATATGAAACAACTTTACTTCAGTTTATGTTCACATTTTCCATTACCATCTATCCCATCATAGATGTAAAATCACAGGCTTTTCATGCATGTAAATATTAAAATTATAGGTTCCAATGATTGGCGACTAAAAAGAAATGTTTTTTCTTTTTTATTTTTTTGTTTTTCTTGTTTTTCCAACCTACATTATCTCAATTTTGTAGAAAATCTGGTTTTATAAACTAAAATGCTTCATAAAAATACAGATGCCTGCATGCTTCTAACTGTGTATGATACGCAGTAATGACAGGCTGTAGTTTCACACACATCCAATAATTTTCCCTACTTTCGTAGCTCACACTGAATTATCTTAAGGTTTTACTTTCTATTTCTCCCTAAACTCTGGAAAGATTTGCTGAGTTTTATCCTACTTTGGTAAACAAGCCAACCTCATCATGTTCTTTTTCAATCAAGTTTATTCTGTGTAAAATTCCTTTTGCCTTCTTCCAGTAGTCTTGTAGAGTTCTTTTTCTGACTTGCACATCCAACTCTTCTGCATTGTCCAAGTTTAATGAAGTATCATTTATTTTCAAGGACAATCGTTCAGCTTTATAAAATATAAAACAATATTAATATTCCAAATTTTATCAATGAACACCTCAATAAGGATTTATTATATTTAGTATTTAGATTTATTATATTTATTATATTTAGTCCTAATAATGCGAAATATAACTTCTGAATAATATTTTTGTGTAACTTAAATTTACACAGAAATGTTAATACACTTCAAATATAAACTGCAGTTTCAAGAGATGAGCTTGCAATTATAGTTACTAGAAGCTGTTTACACAATGATGCTGTGGTCTAATAAATGACTTTATCATGGACTTAATCCTAACTCTATAAATCATTTACCAGTATGGGACTTTTTTTTTTTTTTTTTAAACTTTTCCATATTAATGGCCACTGAAATCACCACACCCCCTCAATATTAAACAAAACTCTAAGCTATGTTTTCAGTATAAAAACATAGATACATGCTTTTTAATAATTACCAATTGCATAATACCTTCCATGCTTTAGAGATTAAAAGACAAGGTGTCTTCATGTCTCATTGGTAGTATTATACAGTTAATTAAAAAAACCCAAAACACTTAAACAGGATACTTCAAAATGCACCCTACTTCAAAAATAAAGATCAAGATTTTTATTAATATTGAAAAATAACTGTAGTCATTGTGATTTTAGGCTTGATTATCTGGGTTTAGTCTCTATATGCAATGGTACGTACCCAGTAATGGACTACCAATTGTATGTTAAATGACAATGTTAATATCCTGCACATAATTTATAGATGGAAAAGCTTTTAAAGAACTGGCCCTACATATATTGGTTTCACAAACACATTATTGCAACATTGTTGGAATTTTTTTTCTGTCCCAATACCATAATCAGTCCATGGTGGCAAATAAGCAACTTCTCTGCAGAAAACAAACATCTCTTGGAGTACGCAGAATTACAAAGCTGCTACAGTTAAAATTGTTTAGATAGTCATCAGAACTTAAAGATGGAAATGATCTCTGTAATTTTAAAACCACTAACAGTAAGCTTACTCATTTGCTTGCAGTTTTGCAGCACAAAAGTAGCAGCTTTGTGTAGTTCCTCATCCTGAGACTCAGTTAATACCTGAATCATAAGTGGAAGACCACTGTTCTGGAGCAATTCACACTGGTTTTCTTCTGAAATAGGACATTGTAAAGAAAAATTGATTGGTTTCAGTCTCAGACACACTTATTCTTAAAGTAATTTCAGAAACTAATACTAGTTTTAGGGAAATTAATACGTATTTCAGGGAAAGTTAACACTAATTTATGGCAAATTGTGGAAAAAAAAATTTCACTGGGGATATAAGCATGCTGTAATCACCTGCTAACCAGGCTGCATCAGAAGCACTCCAGATCATACAGGATGATTTGACCATAACTCAAAGTTTTTGTGAGAAAATTGAAGGAACACTGGGACAAATTATATGACAGAGATCCAAACTCACTTAATTGTCACCTAAAATATTTTAATTATGGCTTCTTTATTTCTGTTCCTCTCATATTGTCATGACTTAATCCCTGCCAGTAACAACGTACCATGCAGATGCTGGCTTACCTCCCTGCCCTCCCTCCAGTGGGGGAGGGGAATGGGAGGAAAAGACAAGGAAACTCGTGGGCTGAGACAAGAACTATTTAGTAATTGAATATCAGTGAATATTACAGTGATACTAATAATACTAACAATACTATTAATAATATGTACTGAAAACAATACTACCACTAATAATAAAAATAATATGTTGTAATGTAAACAATGGAAAATAAAACATATTGATACCATTGCTCACCACCCGCCGACCAATACACAGCCAGGCCCTGAGTAGCGAGAGTCAGAGAGCCTGAGAGCTGGAGCCCAAGAGTGACCACAGCAGAGTCTGAGCGAGCCCCACAAGCAACAGCACGAACAAGAAAAACAACCAACTAATAATAATTGCTCCTGGCCCACCCCCATCATCATTCTGAGCATGACATTCTGTGGAAAGACAGGTCCCTTCGGTCAGTTTGGGTCGGCTCTCTGAACTGCGGCCCACCCCCACTGCCTGCAGCAAAGAAGTTGGGAACACAGGTGCAGTCTCAGAAGCTGAAAAAGTCCTTGATTTGGTGCAAGCTCCCCTTAGCAACAACTAAATCCACTGGTGTTATCAGTACTCTTCTCAGTAAATCCAAAACATAGCCTCCCAAAATCCAAAACACACATATTGATCCCATGCCCCCCCCCCCGCCGACCAATACACAGCCAGGCCCTGAGTAGCGAGAGTCAGAGAGCCTGAGAGCTGGAGCCCAAGAGTGACCACAGCAGAGTCTGAGCGAGCCCCACAAGCAACAGCACGAACAAGAAAAACAACCAACTAATAATAATTGCTCCTGGCCCACCCCCATCATCATTCTGAGCATGACATTCTGTGGAAAGACAGGTCCCTTCGGTCAGTTTGGGTCGGCTGTCTGAACTGCGGCCCACCCCCACTGCCTGCAGCAAAGAAGTTGGGAACACAGGTGCAGTCTCAGAAGCTGAAAAAGTCCTTGATTTGGTGCAAGCTCCCCTTAGCAACAACTAAATCCACTGGTGTTATCAGTACTCTTCTCAGTAAATCCAAAACATAGCCTCCCAAAATCCAAAACACAGCCTCATACTAGCTACTGTGAAGAAAATTAACTCTATCCAAACTAAAACCAGCACAGGTATATATACACTTCATTTATGTAAGCCTTAAGACACAGAATTATCAAACCCTCAAAGTTTATAATTAGCAAAACTCTAATAAAATTAGCAGCTTAATCCTAGTCTAGCTAATTTGTTCCTCCTCATTAACCATCAGCTAAATTTATTAGGATCTCATTTGCAGTATGTATTCATAAAACTGAAAACTTCCTAAAAACAGTTCTTTGATGTCTAAACTTCATAAAACAAAGGAATCAACAAAAGATGAAATATGATAATTTCATCAGTGTTGACATTTTTAGAGAAACTTTTGTTCTGTTGGTTTAACCATATTTCTATTTGAAAGACATTTTTCATTAAGCTTTGTTTCAATTAAATCTTCATGAAAAAATGTCTTTTGAAATACCAGATTTATGACCTACTAAACTAATTATTGAACTAGTTATTGACATTTAGAGAAGGATAATCCATCATAACATAATCCCTTTTTCGAGCATTTCTGAACATACTTGAGAAAAACCAGTAGTATAAGTAACCAGTGATCAGTATCTCACAGCTTCCCATTCTGTTTGCTTGTACTACCATAAAATACCAACTTAAGTGTCATATTTTCACTAGACATGCTTGGGAAAGCCTTAAGGAGCCTGGCAAAAACGTTTCAGGGTTACCTACTGCTTATGTTACTTCAATATCAATACTGCTATATAGCTTTTTTCAAAAATTAATAGCTATGTTAACAGTGGACAGAAACTGTATATATCAAGGGCTATTAAAATAGAGCTCAAAAAGGCTTATTTGCTATGTACGTATCGTAGTAGCTTTCAGGTCTGGATGAATTTTACCCTGTGATAGCTAAGCCCAGCTCTGAATTCTTGCCAAATAGTCTACTTTTTCCAAGCTCTTGAACATACTATCTGCTAACAGGTTTTAAAATTTAAAGATGGAATGGTTCAGCAAACAACTTTTCTGAATATTAGTATTACATTATCTAAACCAACTTTCTCTTATGTTACAGTCCTGATGAAATGACACTGTTGAAGTAGTTAGTGTACGAGAATTTAGTAGAAACTGACTGAAAGAAAAAAGAAAAAAAAATCTTACCACAAACTTCAGTACAGTGTCCAACTGTTAGAATAATACTAATTTTTTCTCCTGTATCCAGAGTGTCACTGGACAGCAGCTTCAGTAGCTCTGACACAATGTGATACTTTGCCAAGACATCACCCATGGCAGCTATTATGTTAAAAATAATTTGAAGAAAATAAACTAGACAGTAAGTATACAGGCATCATCCAAGTATAAAATGCTGTTTTCAAGGGAACTCTACAGACTCTAAAAGCCTTGGGTCTGCACAGTCCTCATTTTCTTGCTCTTTCATTTTAACACTTCAAATTACCACATCCCTCCTGGCACAGTAATTCTGCCCATGCTACTCCCCATACCCAACACTCCCCTTTCTCTCAGACTGTGGTAGAAGATCTTCTTCCCAGGAGATTCTGGGAACACCATTCCTAGAATGTACAAGCTGAAACCAACTTCTTTGAAACCAGGCTCAAAACTAGTGCAGGTATATGCTTTTAAACTTTAACTTTCATTAACAAGAGGTTATGGCAGAAGTGTCAAATGTAATAATCATGGCCAACAGCACAGATTCATCCGTCTTACAGGTTTCTCAGTATCTTCTGATTGAATACACCAAGACCTCATTAGGATAGCACTACCCAGGCAGTAAATGAGAGTGAAGACACATTATGCAGACATACCACATTTGTTCATGTCCACACCCGAGTTACTAAAGCTTCTTAAAGTTAAAGCTTACAGAGCTTATTAGTTTAGGCATAGGACTACAGAAACACAGCTCTAATTCCAGGATCCAAGATGGTTGCCACGCCCAGTTCTCAGCTTTACATATACAAAACTACCTTTAGTATCTTATTTTTAGTTTCAGTATAGTATAAATTTCACTGTGTTTATTTCAGCAACAAAGTGGTGGATCATTCCCCATATACACACTTGAATTTAAAAAAATCTGCAGTATCAACTGTGATGTACATGACTTAATTGCTTTTTAGCACCCATTCGTGCCACTTTTCCACAGAAAACAGACTTTAAAAGTTGCATTTTAAAATCACCATGTATAAAAAATGGTAGTGGTCGTTTCACTCACAGTCAGTAGCAATGCAGGCATCCAGAGTCTTTGTTACTACTACTGCAAGTTGTGTGCTTGAGTGACTCATACAGGAATTGTGCGTAAGCTTGATGAGAACTTTAGCTAATGTATCCAACCCTCCAACGGAAGCAAAATATTTCTGCACATACGCTTAGTGAAAAAAAGCAAAAACGTGTCTGAAATAATACAAGCTTCAAATTACTGTAGCATTTTATCAGTTAGGCTCACGACAGTTTTTCTGTGCATGTATGAATCATTACTTTTCCACCTGTACAACAGCAGCTGGATAGAGACTAGTCTCGAGAAATGGAGTAGTTGTCTTATAAACAGTTACAGGTAACACACCGCCCTAACAGATGCATACAGACAGCAAACGTTATGCCCAAGTTCTACCCAAGTCATTGTTCTCAGAGATGCAATAATGACTTACATTTAACCTTTAATCAAAAAAGACAGATTTTACCACATAGTTTTTCCTGATCTTCCTAAATGTAGCCAGTTTGTGGCTATTTGTGGACTTAAGCACAACGCAGCGTAAGTAAAGATGGTGGAATATAGTTTTCACAGTAAAAGTTGGAAGAACAGCAAAAGAATTTGTAGAGACCAAACACTTAACTATCAAATTAAACTTACTTTTACAAAAGAAAAACTATTTAAAGCTTGAGCTGCACTTACAGTTATTTGCAACTGTGAGACCAACAAATGAACAAATAGGACGAACTATCTTGGGGTCTGTGCAATTTTCTAGCCACTCTTTGGCATATGGAAAAACTGAACAGCAAATGTTTTGATTATCTTCTGGAAAAGTAAAAACAAATAACCCCAAATCAAACTGTAATATGAAGTTTTTGTTGAACAGCAAAAAAGAAAACAAACTGGTGTCACTTGGGAGAAATACCTTAAACTTCTTTCCCAATTTTTCCAGCAGCACTTACCGTTCTGAGGATTGTTAACACAGGCACAGAGAGTACTGCAGACTGACGACCACAGCTGATAGCACCGATTGGCATTCTCATCTGACAGATTCATCTCACATGTGGAAAGAAAATGCAAACAAGTCCCAGATAGTCAAACAAGTGTAGGTCCTAAATAGTGTATCACTTTTCTGTTTGAATTGCAACTGTTTACCTAAATAACTGCAGCAGAAGACTAATGCAGCCTGTATCTCTGACATAAGTTTGCCCATTTTCTAAAAGAGAACACATACAAGACTCCGAAGACACATGCAACTTCAGACAAGATCTTAATATCAAGTTTAATTTACATATTTATATTCTATTTCCATTTCCTAAGCTTATATCCCCCTCCCCCCAAAAAAATACAAATTCACACCAACACTTTGGAAAAAATGTTCCATTTCTTTCTATGACCATTTTTCTCAGAAACTACTGGTTTGCATTATATACATAGTTTTAAGCTATAACTTCATTTTTAGAACTAAAACATCTTCTGCTATTTAAGGAAATCCCAGTAAGTGATGATCTACTCACACACTTGAGATTCAGTTACATGCAACCATTCATCTCTGTAAATTAACTTTACCAAAATACAACTTATTGAGTGTTTCAAGTTTCTGTACTGCAGATTGGCAAAATACAAAACATTGGTGTTACAGAAAAAAACCAACTTACTATTATTTGAAACAAGTACTAAGATGACATAAACAGACATTCTTTTCAAGTTCACACCAGAATCCTTATTAATTAAAAATAAAATGAGGTCTTCAAACAATGCAGAAGTACACAAAGTTTGTTGACAATAAACTGAAACCAGAAAATAAAAACCATTAAGTCCTAAAGCAAGCCATTCATAATCCTAAATTACTTTTGTATACAGTAACTAGACACTCAGTGGCATTCAGCATGTAGTGAGTGGAAACAAAACAGGACTATGAGGTGACTGATGGCTTCCTACTGTAGTTAGTTCTAAACCAACCAGGACCTACACAAACTTTGGAACAATCTATGGGTCATTTAACACTTGCTCCTGAGGCAGATAAGCAGCACAGCTGTCTGGTAACCTAAAGACAGGCTGTCTATATACATCGACAAGGTATTTCTCCAAATCTGGGGATGGACAGTGGAACAGGGGCACCTTTACTGCCCCTCACTCCATCTGATAATCTTGTAATCTGATTTTTTGAGACAAAAAGAAAAAATAGAGACAAAGCACAAGCAGAAGTAATAACATGGGATCATAACTCACTCAGAAATACAAATAATATTGCTTATTATTACCATTACTTTCTATTATATTTCCTAATGTAAATAAAGCTGCTTCCTTAACTATGCAATGAACACTTGACTTTGCAAGATCATTTATAAACATCAAACCACCAATTTCTCGAAAATATTCACTTGCTTCACCTATAAGAGAAAAAAAGAACAAAAATGAAAATTAAACTTTTCCTTCTGTTTCTTTATCAAATGAAAACCTTCCAAGCTTTTCTAACTTCCCAAGCCTTATATCCTTTAGATAATGTTGGTTTTGCCTTTTTTTTTTTTACAGTAACAACCAGCTTCTTAACATATATTGTGACCATAACATTGCATTGTTTCTACAGAAAAATGCTTCTTACTGTTTTGTTGACAAATTGAATAAATAGTGATCAAAGCCTCTTTCTGAGATTCAGGGCAGTCCATCTGATACTTAAGGCATTCAAGGAGTAAGTTCAGATCTGTTCTCATATCTAAGAGCAAACACAAAAAACCTTCAAGTAAATTGTTATCTTTTCTTTATATTAATCTATTTAGTATTGCAATCAACCGGGTCAAAAATGTAGTATGTATATGTATTTTAAAGAAAAAACCCCAAAAACCAGTAAGCAAAAATGGAACTACACCACTTCTATCCATCTACAAGTAACAAACATATTTGTCCTAAAAATATTCCTCTCCATAGTTTGTTATTTGAGCATGATTTTCTTTACTAAATTAACTGCCCCCTTTTAATATTTCTGGCTTTTAGTTACTAATAACTTTGTAAATGTGATGTAAATTACTAAATATTAAATTCGCAACTGCAAGGTGCAGTAAGTGCACTTAAGTGAACAATTCAGAACTATGAAAACATTCAGAGTGAAAATACAATTGAAAATCTGCAGAACGAACAGGGAAAGAATCCAACATAGGAAGGCTTCCTATATGATACTTAGTTACAGAAGACTTAATCATTTACTCCAGCAGCTAGAATCTTGAATCAGTTTGTTAGAACACAAAGCATTTTCTGGGCACCTACACACAACCCTAGATAGGTAAAACACTTTGAAGATCTGTTTCTTAGTCTCTTGGGTATAATTAAAATATGTATTTGAGAATCATTTGCAATAATAACAGTAGATATTGTATATTTTAAACACTTCTAAGGTTTGGGGTTTCTTAAAAATTTAAAATCTGTGTAAATATTGGCAAAAAAAGGTGACTCTAGTGGTATCAGGTACTATTTGAAAGTTTGTCATTAGATTTGCTCTTTAGGTATCCAACACAGAATCCAAAAATTTAGCAACAAGGAAAAAAGAATGTTTCCCCAACAACTCATCACCCCATGACAGACCTATCAGCCTCCTAAAACTCTGTAAAATTGATGCAGATAATATATGACAAATTATATTAGGTATCTTACCACACTGTTTTTTCTGCATGGTTTGATTTTCCATTTTTGGTTGTATCCCTGTTCTTGTTCTACAACGGCAACAAAAAAGCATTTCATTTTCTGTTTAGATTAGCAGTGTTCATAATATCATACATAGTATAAATTAAATAATTTTTCTTAAAACGCATACTTTCCATTTTTCTCATTTCACACTGTCATCTGACACACACAGAGTTTAATATGCTCTTGCATGGCAAAGATTTTCTTTGGAAATACAGTATTTTATAGTAACACTGCATTTTTAAGTACTGTGTTACTATGTTTTGGCAGTTAACATTTTGCAGACATCAGGTGACTCCACGTTACTACTGTAGGGCACCAAAAACGTCCCTGACATTAAAAAAATATATGTAGCCCTGCATCATTTATCACGATAAATCTGATCCAATTTTCCTTACAATAGGTTGCCAACCACCAAAAATGTCCCTGACATTAATATGTAGCCCTGCATCATTTATCACGATAAATCTGATCCAATTTTCCTTACAATAGGTTGCCAACTTTGTCATCGGCCAACAACTTGCACTAAGACCACCAAAATAGGTTACGTATAGGATCAAATGTGTCTGACATCCACTGTAAAACATTCAGCCTCTTACTCAGTGAGCCAATAAACCATAATGATGTTGTTTTATCAGTACTGATCAAAACCAAAGACAGTGAGCATGAACTAAAACACTGTTTCTTTAAGAATTTATTTTAGTTTATCACAGAAATTATCAAATCACATGAACCTTGTAAACCAGAAAAACCCACAGCATTGACTCTACACAAACCTCATGTGTCAGCATCTGAGAGTTAAATGAGCAGCAGTCAGACTGAAATTCAGGTTTGGAAGCAGAAAGATGGTCCCTTAACCATGCCACAAGTCCCAAACACAAGAAAAGGTTGATGCAAGCGTCACAGTAACCTATTTCAATCTCTCAAAAAAGATTTAGCTCCAAGTAGAAACTTCATGAGTGAGAAATCCAGCTTAATAATGGATTAGTTATCCTTCTCAAAGTAGAACAAAGTTTCTAAGAAACATCAGTTTCATCTCAGTGAAGACAGCAAGCCCTGCTTTCCATCTGGAGTGCCCGATCGTTCCCATTCCTCTGCCACTTCCATTAGCTCAAATGGCCGGTATACATCCTTAGAGTAGCACTGGTGAAGCATGTGTTTTGAGGGAAAACTTACAGAGTTCATCATCCTTTACCCTTTCAGAAACAGTAACACAAATGCATTTCATTTTCTTGCACATCTAACCCTGCCACAACAGCAGAAAGCTTGCAAGTCTTCCTCACCTCTTTTTGCCCCTACTGACACCACCCTGCTAGCCTTAGAGAAAACAAAAAGGATCTGCATATTCCTTAACAAAAGAAAGGCTGTAAAAATGAGCTCACTTTGGAGCTAATTTCATTTCAGTAATTAATTAAATACACATTTATTCAATTAAAGAGCCTTTAACGTAATAAGTACATTTTTTTAAAACACTGTAGAAAGATATCTCTTGACCTTAAACAGATCTTTTTTCTTTTACAACATACAGAAGGTACACAAAATAATATTTACAAGCCAGCCTATGTTAAAGTGTGAATAGCTCAAGCCTGTTTTTGCATCACAGGGCAAAGATGAAAAGACAGGTAAGAGGATTTGCAGCAATACTGCTGGCAAACGTTGCATATGAAAGAGAAAAAGATTACCTCTTTCCTGTCAGTTATGGAAAATGACCCAGTAACGTCCCTTCAAACCTGCAATGAGAATTCTGTAAAAAAGTAGAGAGGCATTCACCTGCGCGTGCCGCAGCATCAGAGCGCGCAGCTTGATCACGGCGCAAGGTCACCACAGGTGAGCGGAGCTCACGCCGAGGCTGGTGGGAACATCCCCATCCGTGAGGGCCGGGGCTGCCGGACTCACCGCTGCGCAGCCACACCGGGACACACACGGCCAGTCGGTCTCACCTGTGTTCCTCTGTCTTGGAACCCCGTCGCCAAACCCTGCACAGTGGAGAAAGTCCGGGCCGTTGGTGGCCTTCTGAAATCCCAACGCACGCCAGCAGCTGAGGACGTGGCCACTACCTTCTGAGAAACTGTTCAGTGTCACAGACTTTTGAGGTCTTCCAGTGCTATTTCAGCATTCATCCCACCCCTCCTGCCTCCCAAAGGAGCCGCATATGACTTACAGCTCACTCCCAGAGTTCGACTTTTAAGTCCCAACAAGCACTCCAGACGATCCCAAATATTGAAAGGGAAGAACGTACAGATTAAATAAAGGGGGCCAACCGTCTAGAGCTGAAATGGCACAAGCAATCTCCTGCCAGCTTTCGGGAGGGGTGGGGAATAGGACACGGATTATCCACCTGCTTACCCGGCAGCGGGAGTGCTTCTCGTCAGCCACGAAGGC